GGCAATGTAAAGATTCGAGAAAAGATCCCCTCAAGTTGCTGGCTGTGTCCTGGCCTGCACAGGTGTATACATGGACCTTGAGAGCTTGTTTGGAGGTTCTAGCAAGGGAGCACCTGGCCAGCTCTAATTAATAGATGTAGGATTTATGAAATTTCTTGTGGCTTTCTATTTTACCATTCCTTGGTTCAAATCCAAGATAAAGCATCATATTTTCAAAGAGTTACCAAGCTGATACATTGTGTTCTAGGCTATTAAAGTATAAGTATCATTCTTATTCGACTGAAATGTTTTCTAAAAAGTTGTATCAAAGATAGAGCATACCAAGATTAGTTTTCAAATTTCGGAAATTACCCTCATCAGTGACTTTGTTTGAGTTGAAGAAATAATGTTTAAACTCATTAAGTTACATTTTTGACTTGTTTCATATAGACAGTTTTGCTTGACTTCTTCCTTTTACTTGTGCCATGCAGGTTTGTCTGAGTGTAGTAAAAATTCTAATGCCTTTTAGCATGAAATATTTCTGTTAATATTGCTTTTGCAAGTAACATTAATTGGGTACAGAAATATTTTTAAAGGTTATTATTGATATTTTCTGAATTGTTCAAAAGTTTTCCTTCTTTTGTGTTTTGTCCTTGCCGATATTGTTGGGAAGTATGAGCTCAATCACATCATTGCTCTTCGTGGGTGAACAATGTATTTTTGAATATAATTTTACAGAATTATGTTACTTTGTTACTTTTTGTAGTTGTTATAATTATTATCTAGGCATTGATTTTTTGAACTATTTTCTCCTCTCTACAATATTCCCTCTTTTTCTCTTATATATATTATATCGCTATAACATTTCTACTTTTATTCTTCATATCTCTTGCCTTTTATCTTCTGTTTTCTGTCTTTGCATTTTCCCACTGACTTCTGTGCCCCTCCAACTAAAATTCCTCCTTTCTCCTTCCTAATTAGCTGTGGTCATCTTGCTACTCTCCACAACTATTATAGTCTTTATACAACTTTTGGATTTTGGACATAATATATAATTTATTGCTGTTCACACACAATATTACTACTATCTTATATTCTGTTTTAAGCAATTATTATATTCATTTATTTTACTTTAAACCTATTTTTATTCTATTCTGGAAATTATTTTTGAGTGGTATGGAAAATGTTATCACCAATGTTACCTTTACAATGGTTACATTTTTCTAGTAACTAAAAACTTGTTTGAGATCATGGTCTTCTGGTCATTGTTCTGTCCAGTAGCACAGCAAGGATGGAATAGAGGCCACACCGCGGTCTGTGCCCCACATGATTAGCTGGTAAGGACGAGTCTCAGGCATTACTGCCCTGCTATTGACGAAGCACATTTCTTGTTATCAAAACTCTCACTCGTCAAAGATCCATCTTTAAATGCTCAGCAAGTATGTACTTATCAATTCACTATACCGGGAAGAGCCAATGAGAAAATATAGTGTTGAAAAGACAGCATTTACGCCGGGCGGAGGCTCACGCCTGTAATCCCAGCACTCTGTGAGGCCGAGGTGGGAGGATCACTCAAGGTCAGGAATTCAAAACCAGCCTGAGCAAGAGCAAGACCCCATCTCTACTAAAAATAGAAAGAAATTAATTGGCCAACTAAAAATATAATAGAAAAAAGTAGCCCAGCGTGGTGGCGCATGCCTGTAGTCCCAGCTACTCGGGAGGCTGAGGCAGGAGGATCACTTGAGCCCAGGAGTTTGAGGTTGCTGTGAGCAAGGCTAACACCAAGGCACTCTAGCCTGGGCAACAGAGTGAGACTCTGTCTCAAAAATAAAAAAAAATAAAAGGAATATTATTAAAATGAAAGTGAAAATTTAAAAGAAATAATGGAAAATGGAAGAAAATCATATGATGTTTTAAAGATTTAGAAATAAATTGCTGTCAACCCAAAGTTGTATATGATTTTAAATGGCCCTTCAAGCATGAAAATCAACATAAAATATATGCAAATAGTTCTCTCCCGGTGATGCTAAGTGGAATTCTAAATTATATGCTGAAGACACAAAAAAGTGATGATGCTGGACAGTAATGGCATATGCACAGGGGTGGTTTGATATAAAAAATTCTAAAAGCTTCAAAGAGTTTGGGAGAGGGGGTTAATATTATTACTGATTTTGAGCAGCCTGAGCAAGAGTGAGACCCAGTCTCTACTAAAAAAATAGAAAGAAATTAGCTGGACAACTAAAAATATAGAAAAAATTAGCCGGGCATGGTGGCGCATGCCTGTAGACCCAGCTACTCAGGAGGCTGAGGCAGGAGGATCGCTTGAGCCCAGGATGTTGAGGTTGCTGTGAGCTAGGCTGACGGCACAGCACTGTAGCCCGGGCAACAGAGTGAGACTCTGTCTCAAAAAAAAGAAAAACTGCATAGGCCGGTGGCTCACGCCTATAATCCTAGCACTCTGGGAGGCTGAGGCAGGAGGATTACTCGAGGGAAGGAGTTTGAAACCAGCCTGAGCAAGAGCGAGACCCGGTCTCTACTAAACATAGAAAGAAATTAATTGGCCAACTAAAAATATATAGAAAAATTAGCCAGCTATGGTGGCGCATGCCTGTAGTCCCAGCTACTCGGGAGGCTGAGGCAGGAGGATCGCTCGAGCCCAGGAGTTTGAGGTTGCTGTGAGCTAGGCTGATGCCATGGCACTCACTCTAGCCTGGGCAACAAAGCGAGACTCTGTCTCAAAAAACAACAACAACAACAAAAAAAACTGCATAGACTTTATAGGTACAAAATCAAGTTTTTTTAATTTGTTTTTTTTTTTTTTTTAATTTGGTGATTCTTTAATGGAAGGAAGAGTGAAGGCCAGAGGGCAGACTAAGGGTAGCGAGGAAGAGAAGGAGCTAGCAGAGTGGAGGGCAGGGCGCTGGACCATGAGGAGACTTGCCCAGCGCCTCAGGAAGGGCCCCAGGCCCAGCCCACTGTTTCCAAAGGCTGTGTAGCCCACTGGTCGCTCAGGAAGCCATCCTGGCTTAGCTCTTGAGATCCAATCCTGAATTTTTGCCCAGAGTCCTGCTTTTTCACCACACCCTGGCCTTCTTCCCTGGCCTTCCCCGGCCCCTCAAGGGAGTCATGTGCAGATACTATACTACAAACACGGCTTCTGCCCAGGACCTAAATTTTTTTTTTTTTTGAGACAGAGTCTCACTTTGTTGCCCAGGCTAGAGTGAGTGCCTTGGCGTCAGCCTAGCTCACAGCAACCTCAGACTCCTGGGCTCAAGCGATCCTCCTGCCTCAGCCTCCCAAGTAGCTGGGACTACAGGCATGCGCCACCATGCCCGGCTAATTTTTTCTATATGTATCAGTTGACCAATTTCTTTCTATTTATAGTAGAGATGAGGTCTCGCTCTTGCTCAGGCTGGTTTCGAACTCCTGACCTCAAGCAGTCCACCTACCTCGGGCTCCCAGAGTGCTAGGATTACAGGCCTGAGCCACTGTGCCCGGCCTCAGGACCTAAAATTAACAGAGATTTTTGACTTTCCATTTTATAAATACACACAGTATAATACTCCTTAATAAACAATATTCATGAACTACTTGCTCAAAAAATATTTAGAAAAGAGAATTAAACATAAAAAAATTTTTAAAAAACAAATGTTGGCGGGGCGCAGTGGCTCACGCCTGAAATCCTAGCACTCTGGGAGGCCGAGGTGGGAGGATTGCTCAAGGTCAGGAGTTCAAAACTAGCCTGAGCAAGAGTGAGACCCTGTCTCTATTAAAAATAGAAAGAAATTAATTAGCCAACTAAAACTATATACAAAAAATTAGCCAGGCATGGTAGCACATGCCTGTAGTCCCAGCTACTGGGGAGGCTGAGGCAGGAGGATCACTTGAGCCCAGGAGTTTGAGGTTGCTGTGAGCTAGGCTGACGCCACCGCACTCTAGCAGGGGCAACAGAGTGAGACCCTGCCTCAAAAAAAAAAAATAGTTAATTTGATATTTTATACATTCAGAACTTACAATTAAGAGTAGGGAAATGTAGTGCATGTATTAATGTTTTATGTTTTGTGAATAAATATTGATTTTATAGGAAGGAGAATGCTTTCAGGGATGGACCAGAAGCAGAGATCTCTCCCTGTCCATCTGCATTAGAGCTGCCCAGTATCCCTCCGCTTCCTCGTCATGGTCCTCTGTGCTGTCTTTTGTCCCTCACAGAAGCTTCTGAATCTCACAAAACTGACTTCAACAGTTCAGGCTGCATGCATGTGAAGAGCAATAAGATAACATTTATTTGCTTCTGGGTACCAGTGGATGTCTACTTGAGTTGGCTTCATGGATTCTGAAATAATGTCTAAATACTTCAGTGATCAGTTGCACTAGAGAAGTAAGTATAAAGTTGACCTTTGAACATGCAGCATTTAGGGGCACCTACCCCTCGAAGTCAAAAATCCCCGTCTAACTTTTCACTTCCCCAAAACCTAACTATTAATAGCCTACTGTTGATTGGAAGCCTTACCAATACAATAAATAGTTGGCTGACAAACATTATGTATATTAGTATATATTATATTCTTACAATAAAGGAAGCTAGCGGCCAGGCACAGTAGCTCATGCCTGTAATCCCAGCACTGTGGAAGGCTGAGGGGGAGGATCACTTGAGGCCATGAGTTCAAGACCAACCTGAGCAACATAGCCAGACCCTGTCTCTGCAAAAAAAATAGAAAAATTAGCCGGGTTGGTGCTGAGAGCCTGTAGTCCCAGCTACTTGGGAGGCTGAGGCAGGAGGTTCACTTGAGCCCAGGAGTTTGAAGCTGCAGTGAACTGATAATGCCATTGCACTCCAGCCCAGGCAACAGAGCGAGACTCTGTATCCCCCCCCCAAAAAAAAAAAAGGAAAAGAAAAAAAAAGTCATAAGGAGGAGAAAATATATTACTATTCATTAAGTGCAAGTGGATCATCATAAATGTCTTCATCCTGGTAGTTGTCTTCACATTGAGTGGGTTGAGGAGGAGGAGGAAGAGGAGGGGTTGGTCTTGCTGTCTCAGGGGTGGCAGAGGCAGAAGAGATGGAAGGGGAGGCAGGAGAGACTGGCACCCGCTCGGTGTGCAAATGGACCCGCGCAGTTCAAATCCGCGTTATTCAAGGGTCAACCATACGTACATAAGGCTCCCTCGCAATCGAGCTGCGGCCCCTTTAAGAAACAACGGAGCCCCTCACTCGCCTAGAGGGCTGGGCTTCGTTTCCCAGCGCCCCTCTGGGCGCCACTAGGCCTTTCCTTCGAGAGAGCACGACTGGGGCGCCCTCCGGGGCAGCCTGCGCAGCTGCGGCAACTACATTACCCAGAGAACCGTGCGTTGAGCGGCAGTGCGTTTATCCAATGAAAACCCAGGATAGCGGCTCTCCTGAGCGGGCTTACGCCTTGGGGCGGGACTTCCTGCGCTGGGTCACTTTGGCTGCCCTCGGGTCAATTCTGTCTGCAGCTCTGGTACCCGGCGTGGGGACCAAAGCGACGGCCCGAGAAGGCGCGAGAGGCGGGTCTGAGGGGCGGCGGCGGCTGACGGCTGCGCCCGGGTCTCCGCCCGGTCGTCCGCGGTTCCTGACTCCGATCCGCCCGGGGACCGATGGCGGCGGCCGCGCCGGGGGACTCGGCTCCGGTAAGGGCCGCGTCCTCCAGGCGTCACCTGCCATCCGCGACCCGCACACACCCAAATCCTACAGCCCCGGCGAGGGGCGCCTGCTCGCGGGCGGGGTCCCTGTTTCTGACGGTCAGCGCGGTGGCGGGTGGCAGGGCGACCGGCAGAGGCCCGCGCGTGCAAGGGCTCGGAGGTGCGCCTGTCCGCGAGCGTTCGGGGAAGCTGGTTCCGCGCTGTGGTAGAGAACAAAGTCTGAGAAGACAGCTGCGCGCCTGCACGAGTGGGCTGAGGCGTTGGGCCCTTATTCTTAGGGATCTGGGGGCCATGGAGAGTGCTGAGAGAATGAAAGACGTGATCCGAGGTAGCGTTTCAAGAGTCCTCCAAAGGCTGTTCATTAGAAGAACAGACTGGAGGGTGACGGGGATGCTGAGGCAGGAGGCTGCTGGGTATTTTTCCAAGGCCGCTCAGCTGGTAAGAGGCAGCGCTAAGGACTGAGGAGCAGAGGTTACCGTGTTTGCCCGAAAATAAGACAGGGTCTTATATTGATTTTTCCTCAAGAAGACACCCGAGGGCTTGTTTTCAGGGGATGTGTTAATTTTTTAAGTACGGTACAACCATCTACATTTATTCAAATCGCCTTCTTCTGGAACATCATCATCACTCTCCAAACCCCGAATCCCATCCTGAATGTCCTGCGACTCTGTTTCCTTTAGACCCACCGGCCCGATCTCTCCCGTGGAGCCACAGAGCTGTCACGGGGCGGATGAGAAGGGCTGCTCCGCGTCTTTCCCGCTCCGCGACCACACCCATGGGTTGTGCAGATGCGCCGCGTGGCGTGGCCACGCAGCGTCACTAGGGCTCATTTTCGGGGTGGGGTTTATATTGCAAATGCTTAGAAATCCTGCTAGGGCTTATTTTATGTGTAGGTCTTATTTTCGGGAAAACACGGCAGACAGCAACCGGAAGCTGCCTGGATCTGGGGCAGGATCAGGGGTGCAGGAAAGGCTTGTGCCCCTGGAGCACCGCCATGGTCACATCCCTCTAGGGTCTGCCTCTTTCCACAGGTTCCCATGGCTGCAGAAGTGCTTTTGGAACTTGCACAGGTAAGTGGAGGGTATCCCAACCCCTCACTGGTCTGGAACCCCACTCACATTTTCTCTGAATTTGTAATGTCATGGGACCCTTCACCTACCGTTCTCTCAGCCCTTAGGTCTGGGAACCCTGGAGAATCCCCAAGTTCAGGGTCCTGAGTCCAGACCAGTACTTATATGGATGTGTTTCCATTTGGGGCAGCCATTGGAAAGAGATATGGAAGCTTATGGTAGGAACAGGTACCAGCATGTGGAACTGCTTGGAGGTGAGGCTGAGCTGGTTCCAAGAGCTGTAGGTCTCCTTTCTTTCTGGTGGTAACAAACTTCAGGCGGTGGGGAGGCAGGAGTCAGGCTTGGAATGACTGCCTGTGAAGCTTGGCATCTTATTGTGGAGAAAGTGGGAGTTTGGACTCAGAGGAGGGAGGTTATCTTACTCAGGTGTTGCAGAGTGAAAAACAGAATGAACACAGTGACCAGTGGGAACATGAAGAGAGAAGAGGTGCCAGTGGCACCAGGGTCTAGTGTCTCCTCTGAGTTGGGGAGCTTAGGAGGAAGATAGATATGGTGGTAGATGTGTGGGGACATAGATTGTGAGTCTTCCAGAGACTGCTCATGGTTTCATCAGTCCCTGTCATGCCAGGGCATCGTGACCTTTGAAGACGTGGCCGTGTCCTTCTCCTGGGAGGAATGGGATCTTCTTGATGAGGCCCAGAAACACCTGTACTTCGATGTGATGCTGGAGAACTTTACACTCACATCCTCCCTGGGTAAGGCCCTCATACTCATTCTTGTGCCTTGCACTAGATTCTGCCTTTCCCCTTTTCCTCAGAAACAGCTCTGTCCTTCTCATATCTGGACCATAGGCACTGCTTCCTTCCTCAGTTCCCTGGGTAGGTGCTATGGGCTGACTATACGCCTCTCCTTATCACCCTTGCCCAAAAGACTCAGGGTAAGGATTTGGGATCAGTAGGCTTACAGTAAGCCTAATAAATCCCACCTGGCTTGCCAGTAGTCTTACAATAAGCCTAATAGATCTCACCTGGCTTGCCTTCTCCCTGTCTGGTGACTGTCTAGCACCCAAGTTTCACTCCCTTTCTGTACCTGACATTTCTTTGTACCTGATTATGCCATGAAACGTAGTCTCTGACATTGTTACTGTTTTTTTTTTTTTTTTTTTAGACAGTGTCTCGCTTTGTTGCCCAGGCTAGAGTGAGTGTCATGGCATCAGCCTAGCTCACAGCAACCTCAAAGTCCTAGGCTCAAACGATCCTCCTGCCTCAGCCTCCCGAGGGGGGCTGGGACTACAGGCATGCGCCACCATGCCCGGCTAACTTTTTCTATATATTTTTAGTTGGCCAATTAATTTCTTTCCATTTATAGTAGAGACGGGTCTCACTCTTGCTCAGGCTGGTTTGAACTTCTGAACTTGAGCAACTTCTGAACAATCCGCCCGCCTCGGCCTCCCAGAGTGCTAGGATTACAGGCGTGAGCCACCGCGCCAGGCCTGTTTTGTTTTTTTTTTCTATGATTGTAAATTAATGGCAGAAAACGACATTGTTACTGTTTACACAGACTGTTCTTATAGGAACCTCCTGTGAGTCTTTTTTTAATTGTGGCAACATATACATAACATAAAATTTACCATTTTAATAATTTTTAGGTATAGTTTAGGTATATTTTTAGCTATAGTCCAGTGGCATTTAATACATTCACATCATTGTGTAACCATCACCAGCATCCTTACCTAAAACTTTTTTGTCTTGCAAAACTGAAACTCTCTACCATTAAATAATAACTCCTCCTATCCCCTGCCAACCATCATTCTACTTTTCGTCATTATGAATTTGTCCACTCTTAAGTACTTCATATGAGAGGAATTATACAATATTGTTTCTTTTGTGTCTGGCTTATTTCGCTTAGCATAATATCTTCAAGGCTTATCCATGTTGTAATGTACATCAGAATTTCCTTCCTTTTTAAAGCTGAATAATACTCTATTGTATGTATGCACCACCTTTTGTTTATCCATGTATCCATTAGTGGACACTTGGATTGTTCCACCTTTTGGCAGTAGTGAATAATGCTGCTGTGAACATGAGTGTACGAATATCTTTTTGTGTCCCTGCTTTCTATTCTTTTTTTTTTTTGAGACAGAGTCTCACTCTGTTGCCCCGGCTAGTGTGCCATGGCATCAGCCTAGCTCACAGCAACCTCAAACTTCTGGGCTCAAGCAATTCTTCTGCCTCAGCCTCCCAAGTGGCTGGGATTACAGGCATGGGTCACCATGCCCGGCTAATTTTTTCTGTATATTTTTAGTTGGCCAATTAATTTCTTCCTATTTTTAGTAGAGATGGGGTCTCGCTCTTGCTTGGGCTGGTTTTGAACTCCTGACCTTGAGCGATCCACCCACCTGGGCCTCCCAGAGTGCTAGGATTATAGGCGTGACCACGGCGCCAGGCCTCTTTGTATGGCTTTTATGTTTAGGTAGTGTCCCTTTATACCTGGTTTGCTGACTATTTTCCTCATGAAAGGGTGTTGCGGTTTTTTCTTTTTTTTTTCGGGTGTTGCATTTTGTCTCATGCTTTTTTTGTGTGCATTGGTTGAGATGATCGTGTACTATTTTTGCCCTTTTAGATTGATTTTTATTTGTTGAATCATCCTCCCATTCCAGGAATAAATTCTAATTGGTCTTAGTATGTAATCCTTTTAGTATGCTGCTGAATTCAGTTTGCTAATACTTTGTTGATGGTTTTTGCATTTATAATTTTCAAGGATATTGATCTAAAGTTTTCTTGCGATATCTTTGTCTTGTTTTGGAATTCGGGTAATGCTGGATAGAATGAGCTTAGAAGTGTTCACTCTACAATTTTGGAGCACAGTTTGAAAAAGATAGTGTTAGTTGTTAGTTAAATGATAAGTAGAATTCACTCTTGAAGCCATTTGGGTCCAAGGCTCTTCTTTCTTTGTTGGTAGGTTTTTGTTTACTGATTTAATCTCCTTACTGTTATGGCTTTATTGGGGTTTTCTATTTCTTCATGATTCAGTCACAGTAGATTTTGTGTACCTAGAAATTTGTCCATTTAATCTCTGTTATTTAAGTTGTTGGCCTACAGTTGATTTAGAACTATCTCAAAATCTTTTTTATTGCTGTAGAATTGGTAGCAATCACTTTCATTTCTGATTTTTCTAATTTGAGTCTTGTATTTTTTTCTTAGTTAATCTAGGTAAAGGTTTTTCAATTTTTTGAAAGAACCACCGTTTGGGCTTGTTGATTTTCCTCTATTTTTTTTTTTTTTCCCTCTATGTTTCACTTATCTTGCCTCTAATCTTTATTATTTCCCTTTTTCTGGTTGCTTTGGCTTTAGTTTGTTTCTTCTTTTTGTAGTCCCATAAGTTTTAAAGGTAGGTTGTTGAGCTGAGATCTTCTTTTGTTTCTTTTTTTTTTTCCTTGCCAGTTTTTTTTTCTACTTAGTCTAATATCAATTCCCAAGAGATCTTTCTTCTTTTTTAATGTTTATAGCTATAAATTTACCCCATAGTGCTGCTTTTTCTGCATCCCTTAAGTTTCGATGGTTGTTTTCATTTTCATTCATTTCCAAGTATCCTTTAATTTCCCTTGTGACTTCTTGGTCCCATTGGTTGTTTAAGATTGTATTTTTTAATTTCTACAGATCTGTTAATTTTTCAGTTTCCCTGTTATTAATTTCCAACTTTATCCTATTGTAGTTAGAAAAGATACTTTTTTATGATGTTTATCTTTTTAAATCTAATGATGCTTGATTTATGGTCTACACTGATGAATTCCCAGGTGCACTTGAGAAGAGCATGTATTCTGTCGTTTTGGGGTAGAGTGTTCGGTATGTTTGTTAGATCTAGTTGCTTGTTTAGGTCCTGTATTTTCTTATCTTTGCTTGTTCTATCCATTATTGAGAGTTGGGTATTGATGTCTCCAACTATTGTAAAACTGTATTTTTCCCTTTAATTCTGTGAATTTTTGCTTTATTTGTTTTTATGGTCTGTTATTTGCATGCATAAATGTTTATGATAGTTATATCTTGTTGTATTGAACCTTTTATTAGTATATAATGCCCTTCTTTGTCTCTTGTAATTTTTTATTTGAAGTCTCTATTGTCTGATATTATTATAGCCATCTCTGCTGTCTTTGGTTACTATTTGCACAGAATATCTTTTTGCAGGCTGTCACTTTCAATTTATTTATATTTTTGGATCTAAAGTGAGTCTCTTGTAGATAGCATAAAGTTGAATCATGTTTGTTCGTTTGTTTCAAATGCATTCTGCCAGTCTTTGTCTTTTGTTTGGAGAGTTTAATCCATTTACATTTAAAGTAATCACTGATAAGGAGGATTGACTTTTGTCATTTTGCTAACGCTGGCCCAAAACAACTCAGCACACAGTAGAACACAGGAAAGTTAAGGAAGTTAAGCTGGTATAAATTCATTAGAGTGCTATAATTTTTTTTTGGGGGGGGACAGAGTCTTGCTTTGTTGCCCAGGCTAGAGTGAGTGCTGTGGCGTCAGCCTAGCTCACAGCAACCTCAAACTCCTGGGCTCAAGTGATCCTCCTGCCTCAGCCTCCTGAGTAGCTGGGACTACAGGCATGTGCCGGCTAATTTTTTCTATATATATTAGTTGGCCAATTAATTTCTTTCTATTTATAGTAGAGACGGGGTCTCGCTCTTGCTCAGCCTGGTTTTGAACTCCTGACCTCAAACAATCCGCCTGCCTCAGCTTCCCAGAGTGCTAGGATTACAGGCATGAGCCACCACGTCCGGCCGAGTGCTATAATTTTAAGATGCTAAGTATAATCCCCATGGCAACTACAAATAAATAAATTAATAACTATAGAAAGTATACAGAGGAAATGACAAGGAATTAAAATGTTTCACTACAAAAAAAATAAATAAACCAAACACAAGAAGCAGTAATGCAGGAAATAAGAGACAAACAAGCTATAAGACATATAGAAAACAAATAGCAAAATGTCAGAAGTCAGTCCTGCCTTATCACTGATGACTTTATTTTTATTTTTTTATTTTTGGAGACAGAGTCTTGTTCTGTTGCCCGGGCTAGAGTGCCGTGGCATCAGCCTAGGTCACAGCAACTTCAAACTTCTAGGCTCAAACAATCCTTCTGCCTCAGCCTCCCAAGTACCTGGGACTACAGGCATGTGCCACCATGTCCAGCTAATTTTTTCTATATATTTTTAGTTGGCCAATTAATTTCTTTCTATTTTTAGTAGAGACGGTGTCTCCTTGCTCAGGCTGGTTTTGAACTCCTGACCTTGAGCGATCCTCTCGCCTCGGCCTCCCAGAGAGCTAGGATTACAGGCATGAGCCACTGCACCCAGCCTATCACTGATGACTTTAAATGTAAATGTATTGAACTCTCCGAGAAAAAGACAAAGATTGCCAAAATGAGTAAAAGAAGAAAAAATAAACACAAACTGACTGGGCATGGTGGTTCATGCCTCTAATCATAGCACTTTGGAAGGCCGAGGCAGGAAGATTGCTTGAGGCTAGGCGTTCAAGACTAGCCTGAGCAACATAGTGAGACCCCATCTCTGCAAAAAGTAAAAAATTTATGCCAATCTTACTAGGCATTAAAAAAAAAAAAAAAAAAAAAAAATTTAGCTGAGCATAATGGTACACACCTGTAGTTTCAGCTACTCAGGAGGCTGAGGCAGGAGGATTACTTGAGGTTACAGTGAGCTGTTAATATGATGATGCCACTGCACTCTAGCCCAGGCAACAGAGTGAGACTCTGTGTCAGAATGAAACAAAAAAAGATCCAACTTTATACTGGTCTGCACAAAGCTATTCTGTGTCAATAGTAACCAAAAGAGAGCAAAGGTGGTTATACTAATATCAGACAATACAGACAGTAGAGACTTTAAATCAAAAAAGATTACCTGTTTCTCATACTCTTCCCTCTGTGATGTTTTCTTATATTGGTATGTCCTGAAGTGTGTATATATCATTTAATAGTCCCTAAACATCATTTACTGTTCATCAGATTTTCCTGGGACTACACATACACTTCACAGCATCACATGTCACCAGCAGATATGATGCTGCTAAAAGCCATTGACAGAGGAATGACTTATAGAATATGCCTCTTAGCCTGGGCCGCACTTTATCCTTATATTCTGTGTCTGGTAAGCATCACCTATTCTGTGACCTTAAAGGGCCAGTAATGCACAACAGCTGCTTCCTCAACCTGACGTGCCTGCCCCACCCCCAACTCCCTTTTCCTGAAAACAGTCCCATGGACTGGTTCTTTACTGTGTCAGATGTACATTTGTGATTGGATTGCACCCTCCTAATAAAGGCAACATGTACTTCACCATCATTTCTTTGCTTTCAGGTTATTGGCATGGAGTGGAGCATGAAGAAGCACCTTCTAAACAGAGCATTTCTGTAGAAGGGGAGCCACAGGTCAGGATTCCCAAAGAAGATTCATCTTCCCAGAATGCCTACCCTTGTGAAATATGTGGCCTGGATTTGAGAGATATTTTGCACTTGGCTGAGCACCAGGGAACACATCATGGACAGAAACCATACACATGTGGAAAACAATTCCACTTCTCTGCAAACCTTCAACAGTACCAGAGGCAGCACGTCAGAAGTTCTGCGGACAGAGCCTCATTTATAAAGAGCTGCACAGTTCCTGTGTCAGGGAAGCCCTTTACCTGCAGGGAGGTTGGGAAGGGCTTCCTGGCCAACATGGGATTTCTCCATCAGCAGGCCATTCACGCAGGAGAGAGGCCAAATAGCCATAACAAATGTGAGGTGACCTCTCACAATGGAAAAAGTCATCACAACTGGGGAGAAGTCAAGAAACCCTTCAGCCACACAGACACACTTGTTCAGGACGAGCAAATCCTCACCAGAGAACGGCTTTTTGAGTGCAGCAAATGTGGGAAAACCTGCACTCGAAGATGTAACCTCATTCAGCACCAGAAAGTCCACAGTGAAGAAAGGCCTTATGAATGCAATGAATGTGGAAAATTCTTTACCTACTACTCCAGCTTCATTATACATCAGAGAGTTCACACTGGAGAAAGGCCTTATGAGTGCCCTGAATGTGGGAAATCCTTTAGTCAAATCTATAGCCTCAATAGCCATAGGAAAGTTCACACTGGAGAAAGGCCTTATGAATGTGAGGAATGTGGGAAATCCTTTAGCCAAAGGTCCAACCTCATTCAACATCAAAGAGTTCACACTGGAGAAAGGCCTTATGAGTGCGGCGAATGTGGGAAAGCCTTTAGCCAAAACTTCAGCCTGATTTACCACCAGAGAGTTCACACTGGAGAAAGGCCTCATGAGTGCAGTGAATGTGGGAAATCCTTTAGCCGAAGCTCCAGCCTCATTCACCACCGGAGACTTCACACTGGAGAAAGGCCATATGAGTGCAGTAAATGTGGGAAATCGTTTAAGCAAAGCTCCAGCTTCAGTTCACATCGGAAAGTCCACACAGGGGAAAGGCCTTATGTGTGTGGTGAATGTGGGAAATCTTTTAGCCATAGCTCCAACCTTAAGAACCACCAGAGAGTTCACACTGGAGAAAGGCCTGTTGAGTGCAGTGAGTGTGGGAAATCCTTTAGCTGTAAGTCTAATCTCATTAAACACCTGAGAGTTCATACTGGAGAAAGGCCTTATGAGTGCAGTGAATGTGGGAAATGCTTTAGCCAAAGTTCCAGCCTCGTTCAACATTGGAGAGTTCACAGTGGAAAAAGGCCTTATCAGTGCAGTAAATGTGGGAAATCCTTTGGCTGCAAATCTGTCCTCATTCAACACCAGAGAGTTCACCCTGGAGAAAGGACTTAGTTGTACAGGGAATATGCAGTTTTCTTTTAGTGTAATTACACTGGAGGAGAACACCTTTGAGAGAGCCATCTACCTGAATTAAAGCCCCAACATCTGAAGTTGCATAGTGGGGAAATTCCCCTTAAGTTCCAGGTGTGTAGAAACTTTAAGGAGCTCTCTTACACTTTCCAACCTTCCATTTATGGCCCTTGCCATTTATGTCAGTGACAGTGTCTGAGGCAGAAGCCATATCACCTCCACCACCTGCCAGGTCCGCAGAGTATGCATCATTTGCCACCCCAATCTGCTCAGGGAAACAGACTGCTATGTTTTTCCCATTTACTGGAGGAAATCATGAGTAGTCTGAGCCCTTAAGGGGTCCTCATATCCTTCTCTCTGGCAAGTTAAGGCATGGATGTGACCCAAATTTGTACCACAGAACCAGATATGAGTTTTGTTGGCAGCTTGCCAAGGACTGTCTTTTTCAGGGACATGTTGGTCTCATGTGATGCTTACATGGATTTTTTCCAGTCACCAACCTGGGAACTTCTTGCCTCACATTGCTTTGATTTTTGCAATAATAAAGGCTTTATTATTTAAACTACTTTAAATCTTGGGGTTTGATTCACTATATGAGGTTATTTGAAAACAGAATGGGAACCTTCCAGAATTATGGAGTAAGCACCTTTGTGTGTGTGCGCACATGTGTGGAGGGGTATTACATTATTTGTGCGCCTCAGAGATGATAATATGATGGAAGAATATTGCTCTCTTTCCAGTGTTGGCCTAATTTGAATTGTTTCCCAAGGCCTCCTAGGAAAGAATGCAGGGTTTTATGGTCCTAATTTGTAGACTGGATGCCAGAATTTTTTTATAGGCTAAGAGGAGACCCTGAGGAGTCGGGAAGTTGAGAAAACCTCCATTGCTTCTGGGAACAACATGAATTGTTTGTTGTTGTCTACAGGGGATATCACATAACAGGTTCTACAAAGCCAAGTGTTCCGATACCCAAAATTTAGTAGGCTAGACTGTAAAATTGCAGGTGGGGGAGAGGGTGGAGACCAACACTGAATTAATAGTGGAGTAGACTGCAGCAAACTAGATGGAATGTGCTTCTTGTAAAATGTTCCAGTGATTGAGCAGAATCAATGTGCATAGAAATTCTCAGGATCTCCAGGCATGTGTATGTTTTGTAGCTGAGGTCATTGTCAGAAAAAATAAGCTAAAGATTTTGTGTATTCCAGTAGCTTTTCTGGGATATTTGCCTCAAGGTCATTCCTACACATGCCAGGAAAACAAACAGAAAGAAGGGTGATTTCTTCTCCCAGAGACATGGCTTTGATGTTTGAACTTCATTGTTCAACAATATTTGCTGCCATTCAGATAAGGTTGCCCTTCCAAGGTCATCAGGAAAGATACTGAGTTAATACAGGATTACCAAACCTGGTAATAAACTTATTAAACCCTCACTATAATTATTACAGTGAAAATATTGGTCACTCCTAATTTACCTCATGCCCTTTTCTAGTCTCTCCCTCCCTCCCTGACCCTCAAGGCAACCATTGATTTACCTTCATTTATAATAGATTAGTTTGTATTTTCTAGAATTCTATATGATTTGATTAATAAATTTTTTTTCAGTTTCATTCATGACATAATTATTCTTCAGTGGTATTTATATGAGTTATTCTTTTTACTGTATCTTTTCTATGAATATACCATTTGTTTCTCCATTCATCTATTTCTGAGCACTTACATTATTTCCAGGTTTTGCAAACCTGGAAACCAGTTTACAAACAAAGCTGCTATAAACATGTACAATTCTTTATATGTATATCATTTCACTTCTCTTGTATTAATAACTCAAAGTAATGCCTGAGACACAGGATAGGGTAACTTATTGAGAAACTGCCAAGCTGTGGTCTAAAATGGTTGTTTGCTTTCGCTTATTCACCAGGACTATATGAGAATTATAGTTGTTCCACATCCTTGCCAATACTTGGTATGGTCCATCTTTTAGAATTTGCCCTTTTATTACGTGTACAGTAGTTTTAATTGTGTTTGCCTAAGCATTCATGATGTTGAATGCTTTTTCATGTGTTAATTTGCCATCTTTATATCTTCTTTGGTAAAATATCTCTTCATACATATCTTTTGCTATTTTCTTTGTTAGGAATTGTGTCTGTTTCCTTTTTTGTTAACAAATAAACAAATTTTTGTTCCACAATTATTTTCATATTAGACACAGTGTAATGACCATGTATACCACACATTTTTAAGTTTAATCTGTATTATTCACATATTCCCTATTACATTCTTAAATCTAAACATTCATTAATACAGTAAATCAAGCCATGGTTTGTAGTGTTTGCCAATATCCCAGGTGTAAAATTTCCTCTTGTGGTCAATTTCCAACTGTTAGTATGATACCACTGAATGTAGCCTTTGAAAGAGTTGCCAGAAACATACCATTCTGTTTGTACCACAGTAGGGACAAATAACCTCTAGAACATAGATGATAAAACATAGTAAAATGATTAGGATGTGAAAAGTTTTTTTTTTTTTTCCTTTAGGCATCCCTGAGGGCAAAGAAAAAAGTTTTGAATATTTGTTTTACAAACAGTTTAATGCAAGTATAATTGACAACACATAAATTGCACATATTTAAATGTACATTTTAATATTTTGATACATACTTACACCCTAAAAAAAAATTTGTTGAAAGCTAATAAAAATACAATCTATAATGTTTGCAATAATTCAGTTAAGTTATTCAGTGAAATACACCAATTGTTCAAAAAATAAAGCAGGCAAGATATTTGAAATATAGGCAGTATTTGCAAAGAAAATCATAAGCTTTGAAGATGTTTTTCTCACAAAGAGTCAGAATGTAAATTAACAATTGAGATGAAATTTTCCAACATTTAATTTTGGGGTCAAAGCCTGTTTACATTATGAATCCTCTGGAAGTTTGTATCTTTGTTCTTGTTTGCAAAAAGCTGTAAGTAATCCACAATTTGTGGTTCTATAAAGTAATTGGAGAATTTCAGTAAATTTGAAGAACATTCAAAGGGAGCACATTTGTAGAAGTTTTATGTTTCAGACATTCTTAATATCACCCATATTTAACAGCAATTTTTAGGCCTTAATTTCTAAAGTTTTCTAATGTATTGACATTGGGATTTATTAGCATTTACTGATAAAGAACTCTTAATCACTTTTCAGTTGTCCATCATATATATTTGGTACATTCTGTAATAACAAAAAGTACAAATAGCACTAATGTTTTGGGGAAGAAAACACCTGCCTATTGCCTCCATTCCAAAGATCCAAGGCTAGGTGTCAAATAGCATATCTAGTGCTAGGTATCCACACTGTCCACAGGCATTCCACAGGGACTAAGAGAGCACTGTGGGACGAATCAAACAACCAAAAGGTGAGCTTCAAGAGAGTGAGAAAAGATGCTACTGTGTGTTTTTAAAGGAATCAGGATGTCTCCAGAAGGATCCACAACCATAGATAAATGTTTATTTCCAGACTTACGCAGGTGGAGAAGAAAGTGTGTTAAATTTATCTTCAGGCCTGTAATCCTAGCTCTCTGGGAGGCCGAGGCGGGCGGATTGCTCAAGGTCAGGAGTTCGAAACCAGCCTGAGCAAGAGCGAGACCCCATCTCTACTATAAACAGAAAGAAATTAATTGGCCAACTAATATATATAGAAAAAATTAGCCGGGCATGGTGGTGCATGCCTGTAGTCCCAGCTACTCGGGAGGCTGAGGCAGCAGAATCGCTTGAGCCCAGGAGTTTGAGGTTGCTGTGAGCTAGGCTGACGCCATGGCACTCACTCTAGCCTGGGTAACAAAGTGAGACTCTGTCTCAAAAAAAAAAAAATTTATCTTCATACGTATTTTTTTTAAAGATTATTATTTTAAAAATTAAACTTTTTAATTAACTTTAAATTTTCTGGCTGAACATCTTCTTCATATGTATTTGAATGAAAGCACAAGTAAATTTAAACATGAAAGCTGAAGGAAGATTCTAGAAAAGTCCTAGTACACAAAATAAATAACAGAATGTAATCAAGTAGCATTTCATGATAAATTACTATCTTGCTCTCACACATTAAGGCCCTTATACCTCACATAATTGAAATGAATGAGGCCATTCAGTATTCCACTGGCAAATACTTTAATGTTCTATATGTTCTATTCAGTACCTGTTTCTTTCTTTTTTTTTTTTTTGAAACAGAGTCTCACTTTGTTGCCCAGGCTAGAGTGAGTGCCGTCAGCCTGGCTCACAGCAACCTCAATCTCCGGGGCTCAGCGATCCTCCTGCCTCTGCCTCCCGAGTAGCTGGGACTACAGGCATGCGCCACCATGCCCGGCTAATTTTTTGTATATATATTTTTAGTTGGTCAATTAATTTATTTCTATTTTTGGTAGAGACGGGGTCTTGCTCAGGCTGGTTTCGAACTCCTGACCTTGAACAATCCGCCCGCCTCGGCCTCCCAAAGTGCTAGGATTACAGGCGTGAGCCACCGCGCCCGGCCTCAGTACCTGTTTCAACAGTCTCTAATTCACATTCACCTTTGAAGATGATGTCAACAGTTCTCGTTCACCTTTGAAGGGACACAATACATCTTTACTTAGTTGCCCACGGTCCTAAATGGTTCAGCCTGTAAGGCAGAGGAATTTGTAGGACAGGAAGGGCAGAGGAATTCTACTTGTCGGGAATTCACTTGGGTGGGGCAATGAGCTAACGGCAAACCTTTGCTTCTGGTCATTGCTTGCTCGCTACACCGCTGTAAGGGGAGTTATGGGATGAGGTCATTGAAGCACGGGCGACTGGCCCCTCAGGCAATAGAGGGCAACCAACCCGCCAATTATTTCAAAAGGCAAGAGAGAGAGGGCAACAATCAATAACAGATAGAGAGAAATAACACGAAACAAAAAAAAAACAAAACGCCATGATCCATGCGTAGGTCGGCTTGTGCACAGCTTTTTGTGCACGTGGGGATAAAAGGCATCGCCGTTGTTCGGTCGGGGTCCTTGGCTGTGAGAGTGGCCACTTGCGTTGGTTGCTGCTGGGGCTTGGACCTCTGGCTTAGCAAGAAAAATAGAAAACCTTCCCTCCGTTGTGTGATTGCATCCTCGATGTCTCTGTTTTTCTGTCCGGTGGGCTTTGGAGGGTCGGCCCTCCTAACAGCCATCAGCACACAACCCTAACTTGGCAAGGGTCTTAATTGGATCCAGCTATCCCTAGGCACTGAGCTACTGGCAGCTGCAACTGATCGTCATTCTCCTGTGAAGAATTTATTAGACACTCAAACAGGACATACACTCAGAGCAGAGAAGCCATTGTCCCCACATAAGCTCAAGGTCAATATAACCTCAGTGAAATTCTTAGGATCATCTGATTGTGGGCTCAGGGTCACTCCATTCCTGATACGTTTAAAAGTCAACTTCTGGTTTCCAGGACAATTTGTCCATTTCCTTCTTTGTTATGTAGTTTTTTGGGGCAAATAGTTTTTTCTCTTTTTATAATAGTCAAAAAATAAATGTTTTTTTGGCCAGGCGCAGCTGGCTCAAGCTTATAATCCTAGCAC